AGCAATAGTACGTATGTAGAGTTCATGGTTCAGCTAATGTATAATATGTAATGTTTAATATATAGTACATAGCTGCTGAGAAAAATTCCCCGTCACCCTTTTTAGCTACCATAATTCTCTTGGGGCCTCAGAAATGCAGTTTGACAGCTGCAAACAATTTCCTAACAGAGCCTCGAAATTCAGTGCTTTGGGGGTTTAGGGTTTAGGGTTTAGGGTTTAGGGCTGCGTCGAGCGACCGCAGCATCTACCGGCCTTCTAGCGGGCATGCACACCGCCCCCTTTTTGCCCAGTGCATGCATCTATTTGCCAGTACATTTGGCGCATCAACATGGAAACACGAAAAAATACAATCGTTAATAACGTTTGCATTGTTTCGTTGTTCCTGCCTCGATGTTGTATACCCCTTGGTTGTTGGGGGCTTTAACTAATTTTCCCTGCATGCCGGGTTTGTTTTATTCAGTAAAAGTGTTACAAGTCGTAGGGTTTATGGTTTATGGTTGAAATTCCGTGCCTCTAGCCATAGAGGCGGGTTCATGTGTTGCGGCATGTGCTGCATATGGACGTGAGCCTGCCCTTTGTAGCTTGTGTTACGCAAACATTAAAAAACCTAAAAATACTCCATTCAGTCTCTTCCTTTCAGCCCACAGCACCTCTCCTTACACAGAGTGGTATACGGAGCGCTCAGGCATGCTGGCGCGGCAAGCAGCAGCAGGGGAGTTAGGTGTAGGGCTTGGGGTCTGGGGTTCAAAAGTAGTGTCTTTAGGGTTTACGCTGACACTCTCGATATCCAAAAACCACCAAAGCCACAAAGCAGATGAGCTGCGTCACTGTTCTCCGCTAACGGCCCAAAGCAGGAATGACAAACATCACACACAAGCGATTTGATGCATACAGGCAAACGGCTTAGGAATTAGGGTTTAGCGTCATGCATGCGGGGCTTTCAAACTCTAAATAAAAAACAGATGTGTTGTTTGGACACGATCAGCCTGTGGCGAAGGTGCACGCGCAAGCTGAGGCTACTCTGGAAACTTCTCGGTCTGGCTTGTATAAATGATTGATCGTCTACCGAATAGGAATATTTATTTTGTTCATGAACAGTAATACTTAGTATGTTCATGAATAATATATTATTTTCATGCATAACAATATATATTGTGTTCATGAATAAAAATAGATATTACGTTCATGAATAGTAGTCCATATTGCGTTCATGAATGACAATTCATATTATGCTTATGGAAAATAATAGATATTACGTTCACGAGTACCAATAAGTTTGATGTTCATGAATATTAATATATATTGTGTTTGTAAACAATAATATCTTTAGTGCTGCGTGTTCGCGAGTACTAATACATATTATATTCATGAATAATGCCCCGCATTACGCTCACGAATAATACTACATAGTATGTTCATTATGCTCATTATAAGGTTTATTATATCCGTAAACAATGGTATTTATTGGATCTATGAGAAATACTGCATTTGGTGTTTCTGAACAATACAGTGTGTTACGTTCATGAATAGTAAATATCGTGTTCATGAATTTTTATGAATACTGTGTTCATGAAATAAAGTGTATATCATGTTCATGAATATATGCATGAATAATAACATCATTCATGAAAAATAAAGTATTTCGTATTCATGAATAATAACCGTTCATTAGTGTATAGTTTAATGTTAAACGTCTCGGTTTTAGGATATAGGGGTCACCCCCCGATCAAACATGCAGGAAAAAAATGCAAGGCCAAAAGTTTATTCAAATCGAACGCCAGTTCAGGCGGAGGCCACGAGGGCTTCGCAGCGCCTCATATGCCGAAAACACTTTCTTGAGAAAACTATTTAGAACCCAGTGTTTAGGGTTTAGGGCTTGACGACTTAACGTTTTTCGTCGGTGCGTATGAGCTGTTGGTTTTTTTTAGGGTTTAGGGTTTAGGGTTAAGGTCGGGCACTCTACTGCTCTTCGGGCTGCAGTAGAAAAAACCCGAAACGTGAGTATACCATTATTGCATGGTTTTGCAATGCTGATACAACAATAATTACAGTAATATCGTTTGACTCAAAGGCAGACTAAAGTAAGAAGGGCAAATCCACTGTTTCCTCTCCCCCTCCAAAGTACAGGCCCCCGAACGTGGGCGAATTGAGAATGGTGTACGCAACGTAGCCTGAAGAATCAGGAAAGAGAAAACAGAGAGGCAAAGCCAGAGGCACCAGCCCCAAATGCATGCATGAGTGAATGCAGGCGTGCAGGCAGGTGATGGGCTACATCGCATGTGCAGCACTTGCCTGGCCACATGAGGCTCCTCAGAGTCACGCAGTTCGTTATGGGGTCAAAACGCGTAACCCACGAACCTGAACAAAGCGTTACAAACACTATGTGTATATGAGCATTCTCCATTTGCAAGTACACTACGCAATGTGCGTACAGATAGATATGTATGTTGATTTTATACGTATATGTATACATATGTATGCAATTCTCTGTATGTTTATAGGTAGCTGTATATACGGATAGAGACATAGATGTGAGCATACATGATGTGCATATATATATATATATATATATATATATATATATATATATATATATATATATATATATATAT